AGATTCACAGCCGGCCCTGATTTAATTACTGCGCTCTGCAGGAAACGGCAGCAGCCTCATTTCCCCTGCGCTCACACACACACACACACACACACACACACACACACACTGCTGTTTATAATGCTGATGACTGAACACAGCCGCACACACACTGACGGACAGAGATCTGTGTTCTCCAACACTGACCGCACATCAGGGAAGTGTGTGAGCTCCAGCTGATGCTTCTGCTTAAATACACACGTCCACACAGACGCCGCGTCCACACTAACAGTTTCATTAAAGAAACACACACTTCTCCCTCCATTTCGGCCTTCTGTCCACACTGAAATCTGTTTGTAATGCTGTGCACAGTGGACGAATGTGGAAACGGTGTTTCTGGTGTTGTTGGATGGTGAAAATGGAGACTTTGGAAAGCAATGACCATTTCATGACCAAGCTGAGATGGAGGAGAGGATGGGAAAGCAGATGTTCTGGATGCTGTGTGTTTTACAGCTGTATTAAAGAGGAATGTGATGACAAATGAAGGGCACTGGATTCAGGACGTGTGTATTTGCAAAAATGTTTAGCTCTAAAAATGATGCAGATCTTATTTAAACATATACTCAGCGGCCACTTTATTAGGTACACCTTACTAGTACCAGAATGGACCCCTTTCACCTTCACAACTGCCTTAATTCTTAATTCAGCAAGTTGCTGGAAATGTTCCTCAGAGGTTTTGCTCCATATTGTCATGATAGCATCACACAGTTGCTGCAGATTTGTCGGCTGCACATCCATGATGCCAATCTCCCGTTCCACCACATCCCAAAGCTGCTCTATTGGATTGAGGCATTTGCGCCCACAGAACTGCCACTCACTGGATATTTCCTCTTTGTCGGAGCATTCTCTTTAAAGTCTAGAGATGGTTGTGCGTGAAAATCCCAGTAGATCAGCAGTTTCTGAAATACTCTAGCCTGTCTGGCAGCAACAACCATGCCACGATCAAAGTCTCTTAAATCCCCTTTCTTCCCCATTCTGATGCTCACTTTGAACTGCAGCAGATCCTCTTGATCATGTCTACATGCCTAAATGCAGTGAGCTGCTGCCCTGTGATTGGCTGATTAGACATTTGTGTTAACGAGCAGTTGGACAGGTGTACCTAATAAAGTGGCCGGTGAGTATAAGAAAAATGACAATCCTTCTTGCTAAAACAAGAAGTTAGCTGGGGTTGTGTGTTTATTTCTGTCCTGATTGTGTGTGTGTGTGTGTGTGTGTGTGTGTGTGTGTGTGTGTGTGTGTGTGTGTGCGCGCAGGTGTGAAGGATGACCTCCTGCTCAGAGATCTGCGGCTCAGATTACGCTGAGCAGACTCACGGTGCCGTCAGCAGTGGTTATCAGGGCTACGGCGTGCGCTCGTACCTGCACCAGTTCTACGAGGAGTGCACGGCCTCCATCTGGGAGCGCGATGAGGATTTTCAGACACAGAGATCGGCCAGCCGCTGGAGCTCCGTGCTCTGGAAGGTGAGGACCTGCAGGTTCAGGCGTTTAAGCTTTGCCTCATGTTGAGTTACATCCTGACTGATGTGAGCAGCAACCAATCAGAAACAAGGAATATTAATAATGATGACTGGCTATAAGTCAGATGTGTACAAACTCAGTCCTGGAGGGTCGAGTCCTGCTGAGTTCAGCTTTAGCTTGGGTCAACACACCTGCAGGAAGCTTCTAGTATGTCTAGTAAGAGCTTGATTAGCTGCTTCAGGTGTGTTTGATTAGAGTTGGAGCTACGCTCTCCAGGACACCGGCCCTCCAGGATGGAGTTTGGACACCTCTGCTTTAACAAATACAGTAGGCAGCAGGTGTCAAACTCAGATCCTGGAGAGCCGCAGCTCTGCACAGTTCAGTTCCAGCCCTAATTAAACACACCTGATCAAACTAATCGAGTGCTTTAGGCTTCCAGGTAAGTGTGTTGGAGCAGAACTGGAACTAAACTGTGCAGGGCTGCGGCTCTTCAGGATCTGAGTAGCAAAGCAGACTGTGCAGCAGATCAATATCTGGAATCAGTGCTTCTTGAACCCGGTGAACCCAACACATGGATATACAGTGGAATAATGCAGTACTGCTTTTTTGATGACATCATGATGAACTGATGCTCAGTTTGACCTTCATCAGCTCCGCTGGGCTTTGATTATATCAGTTTCTGCCTCGTTATTGGCTGATTTGCATTATGGAAAGTGTTAAATTCAGTAAATGAGTTTAATATTATCATGGTGGTATTTATTTTTCTATAAGCCAGTCACCCTGTAACACTTTAGACAACAGCAGTCACTTTAAGATTGTGCTGGTATGATAAACTTGGATAAACATATCATTGTGTCTCTAGAGCTGAGCTGAAAGCAAAGCTCTCGATTTACTGCTCAATCTGTTCCTACTCTCACCTATGCTCATGAGCTTTGGGTCATGACTGAAGGCCTAATCACATTACGCCATCCGTACCGTGCCCAGGCCTGTTTCCCGGATCGTTTGAGAAGTGTGAGTGCGCTGAATCGGGCCTGGCCCGGTTGGAAGAGGTGGGCCTGAGCGCGGTTCACTTGGGCTTTGAAACTGACAGCGAGACGTGACTTTAAGGCACTGTTTCATATGGATTTATTAATCATTCCTACTGTTCAGTGAACACAAACTGTCGTAGTTTATTAAAGACGCAAACCTCTCACTGCAGGACAGCTGCACCTTCAGCACACCTCCTCATTCCTGCAGCACCAGAGCTTTATGATTATGAGCGCCAAAAGTGGCGGATCTGTTCGGCGAAATATCTGACTGCGTGTCCCCGCATCCCTAAGGACTGTTTGGTGAAACATTTGACTGCATGTCACTGCATATCAAACCACTGACACGATATAACTAGAGAAATCTCCACTGTGCTGAGCGAGAAAGCGCTTCTCACTGAACAGCGCAGCAGCGATGACGGAAGCGTACCCAGGCCTGATTGTAGTGTGAGTGCGGGCTGTCAGGGGAGACGGGAGGGGGGACAAGCGTGCTTTGGCCCGGTTCAACGCAACTGTACATAGTGTGAGTACGGCCTGAAAGAACAAGATCTCAGATACAAGTGGCTGGAATGAGTTTCTTTCTCAGGGTGCGCCCTCATAGACAGGGTGAGGAGCTCTGTCACCCGGGAGGAGCTCAGAGTAGAGCCGCTGCTCCTCCACATCCAGAGAAGTCAGCTGAGGTGGCTCGGGCATCTGTTTCGGATGCCTACTTTGGGAGGTTTTCTTCTTCCACCAGGAGGAGGCCTTGTGGAAGACCCAGGACACCTTGGATGGACTATGTCTCTCGGCTGTCCTGGGAACACCGCAGGATCCTCTCGGTGGAACTAGAGGAAGTTTCTGGGGAGAAGGAAGTCTGGGGTTTTCTCCTGAGGCTGCTGTCCTTGCGACCCGGCCCCGAAAAGCAGAAGAAAATGAATGAAATTAAAAACCATGGACAAGTTTTTACGGGAAAGTTTTGCGTCGGTGTCCACGTATAATATAAGTATCATGAAGCTGGCTTTTTCTCTCGTCATGACTGTTTGTGTTGATCTGTGCTGTCTGTGTTGTTCAGTGTATGCTAGGGTCTATTGGGGACAATACTGTGTATTAGGTAAGTAAATATCGTGAGTCCTGCTGAATCTGCTGTATTCCTCTAATATCCCTGTTGTTTCTCCTCCTCAGGTCTGTCTCGCGCTGGGAGCTCTGATTCTGGTGGCGGGTCTGTCTGTGCTGCTGGTGGGCTATGCTACGCCACCCCGTCTGGAAGCGTTTGGTGAGGACGAGCTACTGTTTGTAGACGGGCGAGCGGTCCGCTTCAACCGAGCTCTGGATGCCTGCAAGCTGGCCGGGGCGGTGCTGTTCTGTGTGGGCGGCAGTGGGATGGCGGTGGGTCTCCTGCTGGCCGCCTGCTCTCAGAACAGCTCCAAAGAAGAGCTCCGTCTGCAGCAGCGCTTCAAAGAGCGACTGGCTGAGATCCAGGCCTCGGTGCAGCCCGTCACCCGCGCGCCCACACCCGGAGATGCCAAGGTGCCCGTCACACTCTCCAAAGTGCAGAACGTCCAGCCGGGCGCCGAAACCTGAGAATATATAATGCTACACGCCGGGTTAAAACACTACAGCAGTTCCAGGAACAGTAGAGATAGATACCACTGCACTTCCTCTGGCGCATATCATTCGTCTGTACCCAGAGTATATATGGCGATCAATGTAACCGTACCCTGAAGATAGGCATGGGCCGGTATAGGATTCTGATAACCTAGAATAAAAGCATCACAATGTATTTTATTCTAAGAACTCTTTTGGACCAGTAAACATGTCAGGCTAATTAATTGAGATAAATCATTGGCGTCTGCTATCTTAGTTTCCCAAACACAGATTGAAAAGGAGATCAGTCTTCTCTGTGGATCTGAAGTAAGCCACAGCACTGTTCAGGTCTATCGCATGACTGCATATTGGTGTAAAAGATTTGACTTTCAGATGTTTCCTGAATCGTGGGCTGAAAAAAATCAATAAAATAATCTTAAAAAAAAAACACATAAGCACCCTGAAAGGGTATAATCGAACATTCAGCAGTTTTAAAACCCTGACTTTACCAAACCATGACTCTGGGTATCGTCCCATGCCTACCTGTAGCTCCTCAGCGGTGCTCCTGAACACAGCACAAACACACAACGGCTAGAAATCCCAACACTTTTAGGCAGCTGTCCCCAAACTGCTTCACACTCTTCTGGCATGTGCATATTAATCCCGAATAAGCAGGAACAGTTTCTCCATTCCACCCCAATGATGCTTCGCAGACTGTAATCACATGGAGATATACGAGACGGAGGAAGTCATAAACAAGCAGGGCGCGTGTTCATTCATCACCGCTGCCTTACTAACACGTCAACAGAGAACATCCAGATTTGTCATTGCTTATTCAGAACGCTGCGATATTCCAGCAGATCTCTCCGACGAGCGCTTCCCGCTCTATTGCTGCAGTCAATCAATAGTGAGCTGACAGAACGGCGTGCATGGCGGACACAATGGCACAGCGTCTCGATAACACACAGCCAATACATCAAGGACAGAAATAGATTAGCGTCTAGATGCGCCTGTGGGATTATGCAATATCCTCTATATCACTCTTTCTGCGCCGCGGAGAGGACGCGCTCGCTGTCTGATGGTAATTACACTCATCCAAACCCATCAGGACGTCCGCTAATGTTCTGCACATCATCACAGGTTTATTTCAGCGTTTAGTGTTGCTGTTCGGCTTCACGCGCGCACCACTCTCTTATTTCTTCTTCAGGCGTTCGTGCCACGCATTCCTACAAGAACTGATCTTATCACTGTCATAATTGCTTTGATTAGTGCAAATGTTGCACGATCACACCCTCAATT